TGAGAACTCTTGTTTGTTCATATAAAATATACCAGAAACCCAAAATTAACATAGCAATGCAAATAATGAAGACAAGTCTTAAACTTTGGAGTTTTCTTTCCCTCATCATTTCTTATACATTTTAATTCAGATTCCTCTCTTCCTCTCCTTCCTTCTCTTTCTCCTCTTCCTCCTCCCTTCTCTTCAGTTTGTCACCATGCCAAGGTCTTTTTGCAGACTTCTTCACCTCCACCATCCTCATCCTTCCTCTTCTCTGAAGTCAGCTGTGGTCTCTAATGTAATCTGCCTGCAATCACTTCCCTCCCACATCATTGCCTGAGGAATTCAGTCCACAGTTTTCCATTGTGCACCCCCACCTCCTTCTTCTATTCCCTTTGTCTACACCTTAAACCACAATCAAAATACATACATTTCTGAGTGCTAGTCTCCATTTCCCACTTCTCTCTCTCCCTTCCTTCCTTCCTTCCTTCCTTCCTTCCATCTTTCTTTCCTTTTTTCTTTCCTTCTTTCTTTCCTTCCTTCTTTCCTTCTTTCTTCCTTTCTTTCTTTCTTTCTTTCTTTCTTTCTTTCTTTCTTTCTTTCTTTCTTTCTTTCTTTCTTTCTTTCTTTCTTTCTTTCTTTCTTTCTTTCTTTCTTTCTTTCTTTCCCCATACTGGGGCTTGAACTCATGTCCTGGTTGCTGTCTGTTAGCTTTTTTTGCTTACGGCTGACACTCCGTCACTTGAGCCACAGCTCTACTTCTGGCTTTCTGTTAGTTCATTGGAGATAAGAATCTCATGGACTTTCCTGCCTGTGCTGGTTTTTAACCTCAGTCCTCAGAACCTCAGTTCTCAGGGATCAACCCCTTAAGTTGCTAGAATTACAGACTTGCGCCACTGTCACCAGGCTACATTTCCCATTTCTTAGGCTTACACTCACAGGAGCACACCACAGAGGGAAAAAAGTGCACTGGAAGTAGGAAAGGAGAGAGTTATCAACAGTTACTGATATTACTCATGGGGTCAGAAAGATTCTGGTTGATCCTTTATCTTGTGGCTTGAATTTATTTTTAGGATTAAGAGATATTTAGCTGAGATAAGCATATGTGTATAGTAAGCCATGACAGGAAAACTAAGCTTTAAGAAATGGATGACTTCTGTATCTGTACCTGATGATAAAAACCTTGAAATGAATGAACCTTTGTACATCCTTAGTAGACCCAATGAAGTTGAAGTGAAAACTAGAGTATCAAACATGAATATTCCTTTCAATCTTTGCCAGCATGTTCTTCCATCTAAGTAAGTCATTAGTAACTTTTCCCTACAAACACATGCTTGAAATATGTTGCATGGCTCTTTCTCAGATGTGGTTATTATTTGTGAATATCTTTCTAGCTTTGCTTTTGAACAACTAATATTTTTCAGCCTGTAATATTGTAGAAAAACCTGGAATTATATTTTGTTTGACCAATAGAAGTGCTTCAATAATACACTTCGTTGGTTTATTTTTTGAAGAATTATGTATAAGGAGAAGATAGAGACAGATGGTTATACCATATGGGGTTGCGAGGAAGTTCTGGTAGTTCAATACTCTATTGTTTCATGAGCCCAAATAAAGAAGGGACATAACCAGTAATATTTCATTCAGGATGGTTAACATTTACAGCTTCAAACAAGTTCAAAGATATAACTACATTTTATCATCTATGATGACATCCGTATCTTCGAGTACTGAGTGAAAAGTTAAACTGTGTAATCATCTTGACAGAAGGTAATCTTGAGTTAGTTAAAGTTGATGTTCTTTTTTTCAGAGGTATAGGCTATTTGATATTCAAAATTATAAGTTGATTTCTGTTTTCTTCTATAGAATAACAGAACCACTTCACATCAGAAAATACTGTAACAGCTACCTTTTAAAAATGAAGCCACTAATGTTATTGGCTAAGCTATATTCAGTAAACATCTGGAAACTCTTTTGGTAATCATTCTGTTAGCTTTATTCATATTAGGGAAGGTATTTATTATTTGGTGACGTTTTTGGTTTTTCAGATGCCTAAAGTATATATAATTAACATTTTTGTTAGAGTCATTCTACAGAGTTAGAAAAAATAATTTGCAGTCTTCATATACATGCATATTGAGTTAGTCTGCTCAAAAAGTTCCTTCCAATAACATTTTCTGGAAGAATAATTAGCATCTGGCCCAAAAACTGGGCAAAAGCTAAAGAAAAAAATGAAAATCCTAGCAAGTAAAAAATGAAATATTGCTGGGCACTGGTGGCTCACCCTTGTAATCCATTCATGATATTTGAGATCTGAGAACTGTGATTCAAAGACAGCCTGGGCAAGAAAATCTGTGAGACCCTTATCTCTAATTAACTACCAGAAAAATGGAAGTGGCTCTGTGGCTCAAAGTAGTGCACTGCAAGCCTTGAGCAAAAAGGCTCAGGGACAGCGCCCAGGCCCTGAGTTGAAGACCCATGACCAACAACAATACAACAAAAAGTATTACTAAAGATTATATTCTAGTGTTCTGTACCAAGTAATTTTCTATGTCAAGATATTTGAAATGTGTAAATCGTGAACTGATATGAGGGTAATGAATGAACACTCACTACTAAAAATACCATCCAGTTATAGTCATGACTAATCTTTGATGTGATTTCTTTTAGTTCACTGAAACTGCTATCACTGTGGAGAACTGGCATACGAGACAGAGAAAATACTGGTTTTTATGGAGAGGCAGCAGTGGAAATGGCAAGAAGTGATCAAATGTAGAATAGATCTGAAGGGTAAAGCTTACAGGGTTTGTTGATGGATACAATGAAGAGGGAAGTGTAGTGGAAGAGATTAATGATGACCACTGAGGTATTGGCCTTGTGTCTGTATGTAACGGTGCAAGTATGCATTACAAACTGTCCTTAGTGCACTTATTATATGCACAAGACATACCTGTGTGTGCATAATCAATGTATATGGGAGGCTATAAGAAAACTGTACATGTTATATGTTCTTTTAAATGTACATTATATGAATGTGTTTCATACTATAAAGTGTACTTCAAACTGTAATTTAAACAAGTAACATAATACTAATGTGAATACTGTACCTCTTTCTCTTTTTTATCGTATTGTTGGGCATATGGGTGCTCTTTCTTTCTCTCTTTCCCTTCCTTCCTTCCTTCCTTCCTTCTTATCTTCCTTCCTTCCTTCCTTCTTTCCTTCCTACCTTCCTTCCTTCCTTCCTTCCTTCCTTCCTTCCTTTCTTTCCTTCTTTCTTTCTTTCTTTTTGTGCAATGCCTATATTTCTTTCTTTTAAAAAATTTTATTGTAAAGGTAATATGCAGAGGGGTTACAATTAGATGTCATGTAATGAGTACATTTCCTTTTGAATAATGTCACCCCCTCCTTCATTCTCTCCCAGTTTTTCCCCCTCACTCCTCTCCCATGGGTGCTTTTTCGTATTATAATAAGTAACAGTATCATCCTCTCAAGATCCATTTATTTCCTTAATTCCTCAGTTCTGAAAGATTTGACTGGGAACTGGCCAAAGCTTGCTGGAATTTCAATCAAGTAAATCGACTACAGATGAAATTAATACAGAAATAACAACAAAAACCCATTGCACAAATAATATCTATTTCTAAAATATATAAAAGAAAAATAGAAAATCTTGACATGACTTCTCTTAACTTGATACAGAGACAACTACATTTGGAAACCACTCAGTAGCCATCTGTGGTACTTCTTGTATGCTGGATGGAGATATATTACAAAGTCTGAGGTTCTGAAGGTTGGAGAACAGACTCAGTATTCAACAAGAACACTTAAACTGTGTTTTTCCCTTTGTTGATAATCTAAGGAAAATGTTTTTATCAGTGGAAAGATTTTTTTTTAATCTGCAGTGATAGATTTAACTCAGAGACATTTAATAGAGTTCAAATGGATGGTAGTCAGCTAAGGTCCAAAACATATTTATACAGCCACGTAAGTTTTGGGGAAACTTTAACCATGAAAGATATAATCCTGATGGAGGGATGGTTGGGTTCTGATGGGTATACAGGATGGAGCGAGATGTTGCTAGGCATCTTGCTAGACAGTGTTTGATCCCAGTTATGATCATGGTGCATTTAAAATAACAGGGAATTTGGAGAATTCAACAGTTTAGAGTTTTCATATATTCCATCTTGAACATGTGACAGTTTTTGGATTATCCTTTCCTCTGTCATCATGAGTTCTTATGAGTTTAGGAGCTTTAAAGTCTTCCCATTTTTTTTTTTTCTTTCTGTCAGTCAGGGACTTGAACTCTGAGCCTGGCCACTGTCCCTGACCTCTTCAGCTCAAGACTAGTGATATACCACTTTGAGCCACTGCACCACTTCCCATTTTCTGGTGGTTTATTGGAGATGAGTTTCACAGACTTTTCTGCCCGGGCAGGATTTGAACCTGAGTAGCTACGATTGTAGGCATGAGCCACCAGCTCCCCGCTAAAGTCTTCCTTGGGACAGGGTAACTCTCCATACCACCTCACTAACAAACCATCTCCTAACCTTCATGTTTTTATTCAGTGTCTAACATAAAACATTTTTTTCTCTGCCAAGATATGACTTTGGTTTTGAGTTTATTAATCATTCTAGCAGAGATGGCTAAAGGAAAGCCCATGGAGTGTCTCTTTTAGGCAGTTGGTGGATGTTCAGGAAGCAGATGGCCTTCCAAGGACAAGAACATAGAAAGGAAATTGTCTTTTCTTTAGCGTGCCAACCTAATTCTGTACCATTCCTTACTAAGAAATTGTTTCCCTCAAATATCATTGTCATCATCTTGAGTTATTCTTTTTTTATATAAAAAACACCATAATCAGTGCTTTTTATTTTTCTTCTGTGTCTAGTTGTTTTATTAGGTTATTAGAAAGCAGAATTTATTTTTGAATTACATTATAATGGACCACAAGGCTGACATAGGGCGATTCTTTTTCATCTGTTTTGTTAAGCCAAATTTTCTCTCTTTTTTTCCTCTCTTTACAGAGTCAGGCAAGATTATGGCAGAGAGTAGCTACACGCAAAAACAGCTGGATTTACAAAATGGCAGTTTAGAGGAAGGATTTGGGGAGCATTCCTTGCACGACAATCCTCAAAACATGGAGAACCTAAGCTCCAAGAAATACGCTTCCAGCCTGAAATTTAAAGCCAATGGAGACTATTCTGGCTCTTATTTAACCCTGTCACAGCCAGTTCCTACAAAGAGAAGTCCTTTACCTTCGGGCACCAGTGTCAGAAGCAGCCCGTCCTTGGCCAAAATCCAGGGAAGTAAACAATTCTCTTGTGATGGAACTGAGAAAAATCTTTCCATGAAACCTCCCACCCCTTTCCTCAGCACCACAGCCTCCCTTGGTGGATATTCACTAGGGAGAACAGATTTTGATCCTTATTCTAGTCGGGACAGTGAAAGGTCCTTGAGGATCTCTGAGAAGCCTCCCTATTCCAAATATAGCTCTAGAAATAAATCACATGACAATGTCTACTTTCTCGGAGGTCTTGAAGGACGGAAGGCCTCAGGCTCACTCCTGACCATGTGGAATGGAGGTTCTCTGAGTGACAGTAGCCCCTCTTCCATCAGCAGATCAGGAGCAGCAAGCATGCCTTCAAGCCCAAAGCAAGCCAGGAAAATGACCATTCAGGACAACCTAATCCTTCCGTCAAAGCTAACTCGACACAAGGAGCCAGCATCTGAACACATCAATTTAAGAACTCGGAAGTATTCTGGGAGTAGCCTGAGTCACATGGGGGCGTATAGCCGATCCCTTCCCAGATTGTACAAAGCCACAGAGAACCAGATCACGCCTCTCAGCTTGCCTCCAAGAAACTCTCTGGGCAATTCTAAACGAAGCCGACTAGGGGAAAAGGATCTACCTCATAGCATAATAGACAATGACAATTACCTTAATTTTTCTTCTCTCAGCTCAGGTGCTTCACCTTATAAGACTTCTGCATCGGAGGGCAGTCCTTACGTGAGCTCCACCCTCAGTGTCCCTGCCAGCCCCCGGGTGGCTCGGAAGATGCTTCTGGCCTCCACCTCCTCCTGTGCCTCTGATGACTTTGATAGGGCCTCATACTCGGGGACCAGCCCGAGTCATTCATTTTCTGCAGGAGAACCAGACAGAATGTTTTTGGCTAGAAGGAACTTCTCTTGTGGATCTGTGGAATTTGATGATGCTGACTTGGACAGCCTCAGGCAGGCCTCAGGTACTCCCCAACCTGCCCTTCGAGAACGGAAAAGCAGCATTAGCTCCATTTCAGGACGTGATGACCTGATGGATTATCACCGGCGACAGAGGGAGGAGAGATTCAGGGAGCAGGAGATGGAGCGGCTGGTAATCTTTTCATCTGTTGACCTCACTGTCTTACTGACCCACATCAACAGGGCAGCCTTGGAGACAGACTCCAGGGGCTTATACGGGGTGTAGAGTTTCCATGTGTATCTCCCTCTGCTGTCCCCTCCATCTCTCTCTTGGTGTTTCCCTAACCCTTCCCAAGTCATTGTTGTTAAGCACCTACGGGCATGGGAAGATCCACTGGAGCCTGATGTTAATTCAGCTGCTCTACAGATCTCTTGTAAACTATTAATTCTAGAAGAAAGGTAATTGTGTACTTTACTGATTTTTTTAGATCTTACAAACACTGCTTTTAAGACTGCGGAAGGCTGGGCACCAGTGACTCACACCTCTAATCAGGTGTGAGGAGGCTGAGATCGGAGGGTCCCAGTGCAAAGCTAGCCTAAGCAGGAAAGTCTAGGAGACTCTTATTTCTAATTAAAAACCAAAAAGCTAGAAGTGGAGCTGTGGCTTACGTGATAGAGCGCCAGCCTTGAGCAAAAAACACAATCAGGGACAGTGTCCTGAATTCAAGCCCCAGTACTGGCACACATGTGCACACAAATATGCGTGCACACACACACAAATATGCACTCACACATACACACATATGCACCCACAAATACACACAAAGACTGTGAGGAAACACTTTAAGTTTCAGGTGTATGGTCTGATATTAGTTAAGGAAAATATGTCGTTAGAAATTAGGCAATAAATTTGTACAAAAAGTTGTCAAGAAAGTTAAGGATTGTTTCCAAACTGTTCAACCCTCCTTCATTACACACATACTCTATGCTCTGTCAGCCACGCCTCTTAACATACCTGTGACTGAAAACTACAAGACACACCCACATTTACTGAGTTTGCTTTTCATTGACAGTGAATTTATATATGGACTGGGAACATGGCTTAGTGGTAGAGTGCTTGTTTAGCATGCATGAAGCCCTGGGTCCGATTCCTCAGTACCACATACACAGAAAATGCCAGAAATAGCACTGTGGCTCAAGTGGAAGAGTGCTAACCTTGAGCAAAAGAATCTCAGGGACAGTGCCCAGACCCTGAGTTCAAACTCCAGGACTGGCAAAGAAGAAAGAAAGAAAGAAAGAAAGAAAGAAAGAAAGAAAGAAAGAAAGAAAGAAAGAAAGAAAGAAAGAAAGAAAGAAAGAAAGAAAGAAAGAAAGAAAGGAAGGAAGAAATGAGGGAGGGAGGGAGGGAGGGAGGGAGGGAGGAAGGAAGGAAGGAAGGAAGGAAAAAGAATTTATGCTTAAAGTGGAAAATGTTTAAAATAACGGGAAGAAATATATTTTGAGTTCCACTAATGAGAGAGAACAACTGAATTGTTCTACCTTCTTCTAAACATGTTTTTCTTCAAGAATTAATAAATGTCAGAGATTGTTTTGCTTCGTTAATGATTAATTTCCTTAGTGAGAGAATCTATGGGATGGCAATCTGGTTTACGAAAGGATAAGATTTCCATAGTGCTTTAGTTACTATAAGAGAAGGTATGTCAATATAAACTTATTAAATCACGTCCAAAATTAGTTAATGCCAAGCCAGGCAATAAGATAGTAGTAAACTGTGGACAGAAAATATTAACTTGGTCATTAAGTTCAAATGGTTTACATCACTCCAAGTTTTTAATAAGTTAATATCTTCTCTCCTCACAGAGCTTTCAACTATCATAAGAATAGTGAATGAAAACCAGTATGCATTATGGAATTGAACTAAAGTTTGAATTCAGGGCCTTGCTCTTGGTAGGCTGGCATTCTACCACTCAAACCATGTCTCTAGCCCTATTTACTTTTGATACTTTACAAATAGTGCTCTGGACCTTCACCATTCTATTTATTTTTCCAGAATAACTGGGAAGAAATTTGTGTGCCACCATGCTTACTTTTTTAATTTAACCTTTAAAAACTTGATTGAGATGGAGTCTGTGACCCAGCTCAAAGTAAAGAAAGATAACAAATAAAAATATATAAATAGTATTTGAACCAAGCACTGTAACTCATATCTGTAATCCTAGCTACTTGGTAGGAGAGAGAGAGAGGAAGAAGGAAAGGAGGGAGGGAGAGAAGGAAGGAGAGAGAAAGAAAGAAGGAAAGGAAGAAATGAAAAGAGGAAGAAAAAAGATTAAGCAAAGCAATGCAATGTTTGCTAGGATATTAAATATGTGCTTAATTTATACTTTCAAAGAAGTTCAGATGGATAGTCTCTATAAAATATACCTTGCATGCATGCATGAGGCCCTGGGTTCAGTTCCTAAGCTCCACATAAGTAGAAAAAGCTGGAAATGGTGCTGTGAGTCAAGTGGTAGAGTGCTAGCCTTGAGCTGAATTGCTCAGGAACAATGCCCAGGCCCAGAGTTCAGGCCCCACAACTGACCAAAAAACCAAAACCAAAAACAAAAAACCTAAATCCTATTAAAAAACTAAAATTACTCGGCTGGGATGTAGCTCAGTGCCAAAGCACTTGCCTAGCAAGTGCAACATCCTGGGTTCGATCCCCAGTTACCAAAAAGATAAAAATAAAATTACATATCTATGTATAGTTGTATTCACTAAATGTGGATAAAACAAGGAAATGATTGTGTCTAGCTGTGTTTTGAGCCAAATGATCAACCCAGGCTGATTTGTTTAAGTATGTGCCTTGATTGTGTATAGATTGTTCTCTAGTGGAAAGAAAAACAATGCTATGAGTCACAGTTGTGATGAGAATGTACTTTTTTTAAGAAGGTAGAAAACATGAAGTATCAAAATTTCACTTTATTTTCTTGGAATTTGGGGACTGTCAGACTTACTTAAATGCTGATTAGACTTAAGTTTATTTTGTATTGAGCCAGCAGGAAAATATTTCACCCATACATAGTGATTTTGTTTTTCTCAGAAACCTCAGCATAAGCTGTGCAGTGTGAACTACACATCAGAAATATATACTAGCACACACGTGCCACTCAGTCAGCCTCAAAAGCTGCCCAAATGCTATTTGGCACAAACCCTTTTTCTAATCAGAGACAAGTAATAAACAACAAAAACAAATGCTCTGTCAAATGCTCTTGACAAAGCCTAGATTTCAGTTCTGCCTGACAGCTCACCAAGAGGTGACACCAGATTCCTAAACTCAGCTGCCATCACTGGGGACAACTAACAGAGATGGGCAAATCCGAACTATCAATTCATCCAAAAGTCAGAACCGAAAACAACAGCACCAAACCAGGCAAACCACAACTACAAGAGTGGAGAGTAATTGAAGGTCAAGTTCTACTGCCATTTGGAGTTTACTCCAAGTGCCAAAGAAAGGCAGGCCTAGGCTGCCTTGGGACACCTTGGCTGTGCAGTTCAATTAACTCCACACACTACATGTGGACACTTTAGATTTCAGAGTCGACACCACTTTTATATAAATGTACAACAAATAGCTGCTGGAGCCTTATTTAACCCATGAAGGAGAAAACCACCTGAAAAAAACTTAGATCACTAAGCATCCCTATAGTGTTTGTAGCTTATCTCTGATTATACCAAGTATGTCTGGATATATAGTTTTTTTTACTATTATTAATTGTTCATTTTTGATAGAAAACTCCAGGTAACTGCAGTTAATATCAAACCAAGGTCCTCTGAATGAGGATTAATAATTCACTATGCATCTGTGTTAAAATTAAATAGCCTTCAACTGCTGTGCTATTTAAGATCTTTAAAAATATATAGTCTTATTTCTTACTCTCAGCTGCCAGTTAAAGCTTTTGTCATTCCGTCAGCTTTTTCATTGGTAGGTGTGTGTGTGTGTGTGTGCGTGCGTGCATGTGTGTGTGTGTAACTGAGTGAGAGAGAGAGGGATAGAGATTTCAGAAACCAGATATCAAGCCTTGATTTATGATGTTACTGTGTAACTTAGTTACTGTACTGCTCATATGAAGTGTAGACACTTGAATCCAGTCTCTTGGGACATCAGTGGTCTTTTTAACTCCTTGATTCAGAGCCAAGTAGGGCTGAAATGCTAACTCTGACTGATCAATTGTGTCAAAGGCTGGAGAAATAATTATGAAGCAAACTGGATTTTCCATCCCATTTGGTGCCCACATACTTCCGAGGAATCCCAAAGCAGAGATGGGCTACTTAGAGCATCTTATGGTTCAGGCATTGTGTGTGTGCTTGTGTGTACATGTATTGGGGCTTGAATCCAGGGTTTGGGAGGTGTCCATTTGCTTTTCTTGCTCACATCCGGTATTGTACCACTTAAGCCACAGCTCCACTTTTGGCTTCTTGCTAGTTAATTGGATATAAGAATATCAGGGACTTTCCTGCCTGGGCTGGCTTTGAGCTGGGCTTCTCAGAACTTGGCTTTCTGAGTAGCTAGGATTATAGGCAAAACCACTGTACCTAGTTGGTCCAAACACTTTTAAATTAGAAAATAAAAACACATCCTCCACTGTTAAGATTACCAATGGATAAATTGCCAATTGCTAAATGTATCTGCATTTTATTATGAAGAATCAATAGAGCCCTAGAGATTGCATTGTAGCAATTAAATATTTTCTTTGGGCTAATGACAGTCATCTCAAAGCCTTAGTAAACAGCATTGTCACCAGATAGAACCATGCAGGGCCATATGTGATATTTTGTGCTCTTGGAATGCCAGCTCTCATGAGACATGGAATAAGGCTTTCTGGGTTTTTACATTCCCTATCACTATGGATTCCCTGGAGATAGGGTTGGTTTTCTTTCCAGGTACCTATTAAATTTCCATGGTGGGTCAGATGTCTAGGTCAGCAAGTCTTTGCTGCTTGAAAGGTGTTTTGTTATTGGAACACTTCTGAAAGCATTTTACAACTAAAGAATTTTAATCTGCAAGTAGCTGGAATTGTGTCTGTTTTGGTGATACACATTTAGCTCCTAGTCAAAAGGGTACAGTAATGGGGGTTTCATTTACATGTGGCTGTAAGGTGCACCTCTGGGTTCCAGTAAATAAAAATAATTCTGGGTAACGATGAAGCTCTATTT